GTATATTACACACGACTACATTTATAAATACGAAAAAATTCCCCTATATTTAACTTCTACCTTTCAGCAACTTCCCCTCCGCTACGTGTCCCGACTTCTATCTTCTCTCAATGTTACGCGCACTGTATATAAATGTTTCGTGAGCATTTATCTTGTGAGCATTTGTTTTTGTTGACCAGCTACGCGTACCTAATGTATTTTTTGGTTAGTTGGTCATCAACCACGGTCTGAGCACATTGTTATATGAGCACAATCAAATGTTATATGTGATAAATCGAATGTTATATGTGATAAAATCAACAATAAAACAAAAATCGAATTATGAAACAAAAAACATGCCATAGTGAACAGCGTTATTTTCCGAAGCCATATAACAAACACATTAATGATAGTCGATAATGCTATGTGTGCCCTAATGTCTGTAATAATTAGTCTCTATCTCGCATGCATGCGCGCACGCAAACAGCGAATGCACTTCGAATTGAACATTTTGCTAGTTGACATTAAAACAATGTGCTCAGACCGTGGTTGATGACCAACTAACCAAAAAATACATTAGGTACGCGTAGCTGGTCAACAAAAACAAATGCTCACAAGATAAATGCTCACGAAACATTTATATACAGTGCGTGTAACATTGAGAGAAGATAAAAGTCGGGACCCGTAGCGGAGGGGAAGTTGCTGAAAGGGATAAGTTAAATATAGGGGAATTTTTTCGTATTTGTAAATGTAATCGTGTGTAATATACGTGTAGGCCTACGCTATATAATATATGAGGCCGTGGAGCGACGTCAGTATGGCATGTTTTTTGTTTCATAATTGGATTTTTGTTTTATGGTTGATTTTATCACATATAACATTCGATTTATCACATATAACATTTGATTTATTGCATATAACATTTGATTTATCGCATATAACATTTGATTTATTGCATATAACATTTGATTTATCGCATATAATATTTAATAATTAATCCTATGTTATATGCAATAAATCGACAATAATTCCCTGTTTTAAATGTTCACATTATTTGATTTTATATCAAAAAAGAGAATCAACCCATTCGGTTTTGGAATCGAATCATTCGATCTGCGAATCGAATCACTCAATCTGCGAATCGAACCATTCGATTCTGGAATCGAATCATTCGATTCACGAATCGAATGCTTCGATTCACGGATCAAATGATTCGATTCACAGATCGAATGCTCGATTCACGGAATTACGTGCTTTCCGGCTGGCCGGCTCTGTCCCGAGCCACGGCTCACTTTGATCTCGGGTCCGACCGCTGACCTTCCCGTCTCTGTTTTGTACATGTTGCCGGTACAATGTACATGGACCTGACACCGGTTGCGTTCCCGCATCGCGATCACTTCCCTCGCGTGTGGGATTTGCCCGCTTACAATATATTGTGCATTTTGCGGGCCGGCCGGTGAGCACAAGACGTCTCAATCGCTCCCTCCCCCCTCCCTCCCTCTCTCTCTCTCACTCACTTACCACCTCGACCCCCGACCCCCTCCCTCCCTCTCACTCACTCACTCACCACCTCGATCCCTTCCTCCCTCCCTCTCTCACTTACTCACTTACCACCTCGACCCCCTCCTCCTTCCCCACCACCTCCTCCCCCTTCTCCTTCCCCACCACCTCCTCCCCCTTCTTCTCCACCAGCTTCTCCCCCTCCTCTACTTCCTAACACTCTCCTCTACCTCCTCCACTTTCTCCCACCATCCTCTATCCTCCCTCTTCTACCTTCTCCCCCTCCTCTGCCTCCTCTCTCCCCTCTATCCCCACTCCTCTGCCTCCTCTCTCCCCTATCTCCCCACTCCTCGTCCTCCTCCACCACATTCTCCCCCTCCTCTACCTCCTCCCCCTCCTTCTCCACCACTTTCTTCCCCTCCTCTACCTCCTCCGTCTTCTCCCACCATCCTCTACCTACTCCCTCTTCTACCTCCTCCACCTTCTCCCACCATCCTCGACAGAGAGAGAGAGAGAGCGAGAGAGAGAGAGAGAAAGAGAGAGAGAGAGAGAGAGAGAGAAGAGAGAGAGAGAGAGAGAGAGAGAGAGAGAGAGAGAGAGAGAGAGAGAGAGAGAGAGAGAGAGAGAGAGAGAGAGAGAGAGAGAAGAGAGAGAGACGAGACGAGAGACGACGAGTACGGACGTACGTAGTACGAGTACGTAACGTACGTAACGTAACGAACGTAACGTACGTAACG